TGCCCCTCCATGTTGGCCGAGGCTAAACGCACGACATCGACAGTGGGCATCGGGCGAGAAGTGGAGAGGTGTTCCGAAATCGAGTAAGTTTTATTTTTCGATATCTAAAAAACATGAAAATTGTCCTGTACTTGATGCTGCCTAACCATCCAGTCCGCCTGAACGCACGCTCCGTCGATAATAGATGACCCCCTGAAAAAGTTCATTGCTGCGGACGATGGTCCTCTCGGCAAGGACTTTCGTAAAAGCTTTTCGAAGTCTCACTACTATTAGCTTTCATTAAATGAATACAAATACTTATCTTGTAGCATCACTTCGAACTTTCGTTTTCGTTTGTTGAGACCGTAGGCACGTGAATGCCTTATTTTTATGCCCATTTTTATATCTGGGCTACTAAGCCGGTAAAAAGTCCTTATATTGGGTTCACAACGTGCCTGATGTTCAGAATCAAATAGATATTATCGTTCGACCCACTGTGTGAAAAAGGTGCTTGCGGGAAAAGTCGATCAGCGGGACAATATGGTGTTTCTATTTAAAAGTCAGTCAGTGTTCAACATGACCGTGTTACGGCAGAGCCGGCACGAAACGCGACATCATAAACTATTCTAGTACAGTGCTACTATATCATTATATAGAGCTGAGTGCATCCAAAATGGGGAAGGTCACCGACACTAGAGCAAAACGATATAGCCGAGATAATTTACCGTTTTCTGAGAAGCTCCTATTAAAGCGTTGAAGCCATAAAGCAGTAATCATATTATGGCTGATGTATAGCAGTCTTTGTTAAACTAATCATGATTGTAATATACCAGTCATATTCTATTAGTGAGAATTGTTCTAGGCATATTTCAAGCAACTTTATTGCCTATTGGGTATAAGCAACCAACCTTCAAGAATTGGCCTTTACAATGTGAAAACTGTTTAGGAACTTTAGGAATTTTAATCAGATAGTAGCAATTTACTCAGTTTCAATAGTGTGCTGTTTTATATTCAATATAAAGGATAACGACAAACGTTACTGACTTCTTGATCATTTTTATCATCATTTTGTGCAACAGAGTTTCAAACACAACTCTTAGTGAAATACAACATCGTCAAGGAATATAGAAGAACACTTTAGTCAGCAATGTGAGATCAAAGGCGCCCTATTTCATGGAATTTAAGTCAGATACACCTAAAATAGAATTGCTTCCCTCTCTTTTTGGGCATTTTTCTGCATTTATCTGAAATTGGTACCGAAAAAAAAAGCTCATTCTAGGAATATGTAAGCAAATCTTTAGTCTTAGCAGAGAACAGTGCGTCATTTTTGCACGCCGGTTTTACAAATTAGTCGCAACCCGATTTCTTCATGATGGACCAATTCCTGCCGAGATAATCGACTTCTCCAGCACTTAAATCGACAGTGTAGGGCACTGTAGCTGAACTTACGGCTGTAGTGGAAGCGGGTTCTAGTACAACACGAGGAAAATCTCCAATAGATAAATAACAGTTATTAATCAATGATTAATTCGAACCATTTAAAAAGTAATTTACCTTTCTATTTGACTCAAGCCATTAACTAAGAAAACGTGATGTAAGTGTACATTGTAAGGTGCTGCTTAGTAAACGAAGGCGTTAGGTGCTTTTTTAAGGCCAAAAAGCCAAGAGATTTAATTGTGTCGTTTTCTTCTATAGTTTGTTGAAAGTAAAGTAGCAGGCCGTTATTGATTCGTTTTTGACGAGACCATTAATGCCGAGAGCAACCACGGAAGTAATTGTTGGCTTGCTTACCTTTTAGAGAATGTATCTGTTACGGGGAAAAACAATCTCTCACTCATGTTCTAACTGCGGTGTGCAATAAAAGAGACGTCGTATCACCGCGCTTCTAGAAAGGCAAACATATCACCAAAAAAATTTATCTGAATGTTTTACAAACTGCTATGCGACCACATGTAGTCAAATGTATACAGGACTGTGTACGCCTTCCAGCTAGATGATGCATTAGCTCAGACTAACCGGTTAGTGGAGGACTGGCTGTTTCATAAGAGCATGTTCCGGAATATATAGCTCATGTAGAGCCCAGATTTGGAGCCGTTGGATTTTTATTCATGGAGCTTCACTAGGCAAGAGTGCAATAAGTACTCACTTGTGCCATGAAGAAAACGTTCATTTGCGTCGAGCATTTGAAATCCCAAATCGATAACGTAATCGAGGAAAAAGGAGCTTACATTAGATACTTGTACTATATACATATATATATATAGTCTTCGAAAATCTTGCTGTGCACAATCTTGGTACCACAGACGTGTTTTACTTAGACGTTAGCGGGTCTTGCGGTGACGGAATGTCGAGCCACGTGCTAAAGGTACATACGTTTTGACGTAGAACAGAAATAGGAGAACATCTTGACCTCTATTCTTAAGACCCATATTAGACTACCCTGCAATTATGCCTTGTCAACAACTGGCAAGCGACTTAATCGGCGGGACAGCGGAAAACGGCGTTAAATAGATTTAGGCCTAGTAATAACTTTCCAAACAAATAATCCATCCTGAGTGATAACGAAGGTAAAAACGGTACACTAAACTAATCGGTGTTTTGTGCTTTGCATAGTATTGTTGATAATACACCTAACCATTTCTCCTATGATATATACCCGTTGACGGCTTGATACTAAACGGTCGGATTTTCCATGGCAATACTATGCCCTTCATAATTTCTTACATTGGAGACTAAGCATATATAGAAAATTAGCATGAAACAAAACAAGGATTAGCCATCAGTACCGCAGGGATGTGTTTTTTAAGCCTTCGAGTAATTTGGACTGCAAAGCATTAAGTTCTTGACCCTTTTCTAAGACTCTGTGTAATAAAAGGCAGGTAATTAGACTAAATGTGCTAGAGATGTTATTCCTTACGATTACATTCATTCAATATAAGCAGCATTTACCACGATAATAGCTTCTGTTCGGGACCTTCAATCACTAATTCGTTGTTTCTCAAAATTTTCACTCTACAATCCTCTACAAAATAGCTTGTAATGATAAACGTACGTTAAGCGACGTTGCTAGGTCCCCCAGATACGCTACGTACAAGAAAATTTAATACATAACGTTTTCATACATAACGATAGCAGATCGAAAATCTTAAAAATCTAGGACTCAAAACGATCAAGAGAATCCAAAGGCGCAAAAAAAGCTAAAAATCGTTAGAGCGATATGCCTTATCAAAGTTTTTCTCGGATTTTTCAAAAGTCACATGAAAACCGCCAACGTAGTAAACCGTCTGTTCGGTACAAAAAACAACAAGTTTTTTGTTTCTGGTGTGGCTTATCTAGTACGGAAATATTAAATAATAACTAATCGTCGCGCATATTTTGAATCGATATACTGTTGTACGTCATAACGAGTTTGTTCTAGGAAAAGCTGGCTTTCGCTTGATACTTTGAGTAACGTATTGCCACGTACAGCCTGGCAAAGTTTATACATAGCATTCTGCTCATTGTACATTTGCTAATAGTACTACCTTAACTGTAGTAGCAATTCTATAGGTAGTAAGATCCCTAAGCCTTGATACCCTTGTCAGCACAATTACGCTCTGAAACAGTACCGCTGAATGATTCATCACAATCCGGATAATGCAGATTAACCCTGGACAAATCGATGTACTATGCAAAATTTCGAAAAACCATAATTTTAAACAGCCAATTGCAGCGAGGTTAGTTTTGGAGAATGGTGCCCGTATTGCTTCAGCTCTCCCTGACCAGCCTATGACGGATGAATTATGATTTTGGAACTAGTTTGTAGTGTGGCACTAAATGATCAGAAGCATCATTTTCCCAACTCAAGATCACCGTCGCGAAAAGCAAGCAATTTCCCCTTAACATCATTCGATAGCAAGGGTTCTTCGCATAATTAACCTAAGCCAACTTCGCGAGGCTGTATAAATCGCTGCCAATCTCTTCCACGACAAAAGACAGGGGCGTCTTTGGCAAAAGTACAAACGTAATATTCTTCCCTCGCATTAACGTTTGTCTTCAAGCATTGCTCAAAGTACATTCGGAATGTTCTATAACTACAACATATCATAACATCGTGTCCAGTTTAATTTTAGATCTCAAAACTACGTACACCACGGATCGGCAGAGTTGAAAACTGACAGCCATTAAGAAACAGGACGGCAAGTTCTAAGGTCTTACGTTTAGCATCTGCTATTAAATTCCCGTCACGCCTTCAGCCACTCGTCAGAAATCCTGCTGTACCATAACCTGACGGAATATCTTCATCCTCGCCCCCTATAAGGTGAGGGCAAAGCCATTGTCGTATGGGGATATTGAACTGAACATCATCTTTCTTTGGGACATAAGTGATCGAAAAGAAGGAAGCTTGCTGAGACATTAGACAATGATAATAGTGAAATCAGGCACGATGTCGTTCCCGGGAAATATCGTAATTGTGGTTAGATGAAGTGTTACAAACTGTCGAAACGCTCCTATTGGCACTGAAAGGCAATCGTTTGACACAATTATTTTAAGGCATTACTGGAACTACGTAAAACTTATTGCTATTATTTATGTATGGTTAGCATAGAAAGCGTTCGAATGTTCGTTCGCCTAGGAAACAGCGCTTCTCCATATTTACAGGCCTGTTCGCTTACTGAACGCTTCGAATTATTAATCCAAAGTCGTCTCCTAGAAATAAAACGTTTTTTTTTTTTTTTTTATTCATATAAGCTTGTGTACGCTAGCTGTCACTAGAAGAATGGACAAGTGTTCGCCGGGTTCAGCTACATACAGTTCAATTATCAAAAAGGCCAATATACACTGTTTTAACAAGTGTGCTAAAGTGACCGCCTTGAACTTAGTTGCGTATACTCGGTACTGCTGTAAATGCCGTCGTCATGATGAGTGCGAGGCGGTCGTTCCATTAGCGGACCACCACCGTCATTTTCAGATACGTCTAACTGTGTATTAACCGTATTACATGAATAGCTAACTGAGGTAATAGAAAAATTGACTGATACCGTTGTTGTAAGCGATGTCCAGCAATGAAAGTTCATTGCACATTGACTCGGTATAGTTCGTGAGCATGGTATCAAATATGAGACTCTGCGCGAGAGGAAACAATATCATTGCCTTTTCTGTCGCGTTGATTTCCAGAACACTATTAGATGTATTCGTTGCAAAAACAGTTATTGGCTCCATATTGCTCTTAATATACAATGCCTCCTTTAGTGGCCTTTCTATTGCGGGTATAGACACAAAAACACTTCTAGCCAATAGCCAAATAGAAGTACACTGCAACAGTAATTTATAGCACCACATTCACGCACATACACGAGCCTTTAGAGAGTTTGGCTAGATTCTACGGCGGCAGCTGTACGATTCCAGGTTGATCTTTACCGTAGCACAGCACAAAAACGTCAAAAGCTCTATTAATAAACACCAATTTAACAAGACTTTCCTGCGCTGCAAGCAAACATACGCGCGAATCCGTCACCAGCCCTGCGAACTCATCGTTTATATGCATAGTTCCTGCTGCATAAGTCTGCTCCACCCTGTCGAGGCTTTACATCGACACTACACAATGTTCCAGCTATCACAAACTTAATGATGAACGTTGCTCGTTAGGGAAGACTCAAAGTTCACACGAAGTTCGGACTGAACACGCCTCTTCTTACTTCAGCCAGGTAGATTCGCATTCGGTAGACGGACAAGGACTTCCATCACCACTATCCTACTGCCAACTTCTCTCCAAACATCCCCACGTGAATCGAGGCCCTCTCCATTCTGACGATCGTGGCGCCCCCCGCCGGCTTCCTTGACTACTAGCATCCTATCGACTGCTTGGTAACCACCAATTGTAAGGGACGGAGGCTGACAGAAGCACATGGCGAAAAGGAAAGCGATACGGAGATCTTAGCATCAAACATATGCACCATTTATAAGTTCAGAGGCTTTAACGTGAAGGGTGAACAAAAGCTACGTGAATGCGTTATAGAACAACACTAATGACGTCATTTAGGAAAAAATATTGTAACAGCCTGCGTAAACAGAGCACACACGGGTTAAATGTCGCACGAACAAGAAAATTTCAGATAGTCTTTTTACCAAAATCAATCCGCTAGAAGCAAAGTAGCGATTCTAAGTTGAGAAAATGACTGAATTATAAGTTCCCACGCAAACGGTTTCCTCTGATCACGCTTTGTTCAGTGTAAGCTTTAGCATAAATAGCCAAACGCAGTCGAAAAATGCGTCAGGAAATTCAAGCGAATCAAGGGCCGCCGTAGATAAGCTGCTGAGTTGTGTGCAGACAGATCGACTGTTCAGTGATTCATAAAACGCCCGTATCGAATTTACGTTAAGAGTTAGATAGTTTAAAGTGCCGCAATTCATATCAAAGCCTGTAGTAGGTAGGTTTTTTTTAGTTTAGACGGCTATTTCTTCGACACCGATACGGCCAGTATTTAGCGCTTAGCTGTCTCAAAACAATGTGCACATACATTTTCAGCCAGTATGAATTGGGTCGTTGAGGGCGTCATTTGAGGCCTAAGATTTGACAGTAATGCATGCGTTGAAATGCCTTCATTCAGGTTTAAGATAAAGCGCGGTAAGGCTGAATGAATTTTTTACAAACATTCATTGCATATTCCAGTTTTATTTCAATGAAGGCCAATTGCTCAAGGATAATTCTGGAAATTTCTATGTTAACGACGTTTTGTGCTTGTGACCAATGGCAAAAGAAGTCGTCAAAAATAAAATACTAACAACTAAAAAAAAGTTTCGAAGCATTTGAGGGAATTTGCCCTCTAAAAGGAGTTCGATATTTAAATGTTACTTACTTACATAAATTGACGCAAGAAAGTTTATTAATTTATAGACGAATACGGAGAACCGAAGGAAGGGACTAAAACTTGTAATTCCACAAATATGTAACAGAGTAAAATATAACTAAAAGAAAATCGTACGACCTCAGACGGTTATAGTTAGGAAAAGAACCTAAGCAAGGACTCTGCAGTGCCACACAGGCTGATCGAAGTCACAAAGCTAAAAAGAAGCGTGATGCGAAAAGCGCGCTCCTTAAAATACGCGGAATTATCCGTCTGCTACTCTACCGGAGGACGGGAACTACGACCGTGAAAATTGTAATGCTCTCCCAGTGTTTTATAGAGGATATTATATATGTCTAAAAATGAGCTGTTGATTAGCCAGAAGATGGGTTTTTCTCCCAAATCGACCTGGTTGTCGCGAGAACGTTCGTCCAGTAGAGAAGCCGTTACGAGTCAGTTGCCTAAAATCAACTACAACTACCGAATTAAATTCTTAATCTATTCTGCTATGATTTTATATCACAATGCTATACTAATGTCTTACCATTACTGCAATGCGCATAATGTATTATGTCAAGTGAGATACCGCGTGTTACGGTACACCATGGTCACTTGGGAGGCTCTGCACGTTCAAAGAGTCCGACAATTAAGATTCAATACCTCGCGCTGTTGGCGGCTAGAGTGTATTGAATATTAGACTTGGCAGGCTGCATTACCCCCCCGAAAATCTATTCATAACTGATCCTAAGGCGTACCGATCTCTCGGCTGCTAGCAGAAGCACTTGTCTGCTAGACTAATAGATCAGGCATACACTTGCAGAGCAGCTTCTCAAAGCAAACCAATGATAACCGCAAATAAAACAGCCGGACATTAACCACCTTTTCGCAATAATGTGTATATTACCATCCACACAAGCACTAAATTAGAACGTAAATTATAAGACGCGAACGCCTAAGTAAAAGAGTAACTTTTGATTCTATGAAAACACTTGCCTGACCCACTTGTTCACACGGAACGATTGTCCTTCTCCCAAGCAATTGCGTATGTATACGAATTCACGTCCGTTGGTAAAATCTAACATGCTAGAAGCACCAGTCAGGTGGCACATCCAGTTAAGACAATGTTATTTTGTGCGGTTTGGAGACAGGTCATAGAAGAACATCGCATCGCCGTGATAGTTCTATTGCGCACAGGGTTAGCGTGTTTAGGATTATACTCCTGGAGCTGTTTTTTTTTCAGCCACTTGCTCCGGTTTTAGCCTTCGGTCGACTACACGCCATTAACTCTCATATAATTGAAAACGGTGCGCTAGCTTCACCATGCTGCTTAGACCTATTGTCATAACTCTGGCAAGGTAGATGAGACCACAATAATAGCAGCAGTCGGGCTCGGAAAGTTTTCTATACTACTTTTGGCGAGCGTCTGGAGTACGACCGACCTTCTTGTATACATGCTGACTCGCTTCCAAACTCAGTCAAACAACAAATTTTATATGACTACCACAGAAATGCTGCTAAATCGATTTTCGTCGAATTCGTATGATCGTCATGAGTCAGAAGACCGTAAATAATTGTTACGTCGCATGAACCTAGCGCCCTTCTGCAATCTTTTGCATTTTGCCGCGTCCAGAAAATTAGAATTTTTTAATTCTTCCGAAAAATGTATAATACAGGGTGTCCTAATAAGGTGCATATGCTCTTTACGGGTCCGAACTTTCTGGCCGTTCCTTCCATGCGATACATTGAAAATAATGATTCGATCAAAATCAACTCTTGAACGAAGAAACGAAGGTGGGAATCAACGCATAATTTTGGTGTCCGCAAATTAGGCGCCTATCGTATTTGAGACGTTACAAATGGAACAATTGCATTCACGATCCGTGCGAGCTCTGTATGAAGATAATCCAGAAGGAAAATTATTTTGCAAATTACACTTGGGAAATTACGAACTACGTACGCAGTTTTTGAAAAAAAATTATTCAGATTTTAACGCAGGAATACCAAATGGTCTACCAGGGGCACCAAATTTACCAGGGGCTTCGATGTGGCGCGGCAAGCAGTGGATTAACTGGACCATTCTTTTTTGACTGTCCAGCGACTGGTGCCGGTTCTTACGGCAAGATTCTGTTTTAGCATGCACTCGGGGGGACTTTGAAGGATGGTGAATATGACGAAATTTATTTCCAACAAAACAAAGCGCCTGCACACTATCATTGTCTGCGTCGGGAAACCTACGTAGTAGAAGTAAAAGCCATAGTTGAGGTATCTGCTGAACATTGTAAATCGATTATTATCAATAGGCTATTGATGAGAACAATGATTTTGAAAGCCATGGCAAGATAGAAAAAATTAATTACGGTTTAAATATTAATTGAATAGAAAATCAAAATTGTATTTATTCAAATAGTATTGTGACAGTCCGTATATGTTTTAATCATTTCATATCTATTTTTTTGTCAAAATCACCTAGAACTGTTCACAGCATTGGATTATACCCTTGGGCGGAGGCATCCCTTTGTCACAATCATGGTTTCGTAGACAGTTCGTATTTTCCATCGCCACTGGCTGAGACACGACGCTGTCTCTGTACATCAACTGCAATGGCCATTTCGTTGATCTTTAATCGACATGCTCATGTAATGTTACTGGATAGTACGGCTATCACACGGTTATAATGCTATACGACTATAACAAGCACATGACCGCTTAAGCGGTGCGCTTTGGCGGTAGGTCTCAATAATCGACAAGCTTGGGCACCATTCCAATGATGGACTCTGAGCCATGATACGCTGGTTTTCTATTGATTCCATTGCACAGAAGCGGTAAAGCCGGTAGCATTAAGTGCTTTTGCTTGCTCCATGTAGGTTGCGTGAGTAGCGATCTCTCGTCTTTTGCCCATGTATGTTTGTATAAATTATTCTAAGTAGTAGCTCCACAAGCGAGAAAGAGCCAAGGAACGAGTCGACTAGATCCAATGGCTGCCTACGGCCATATCGTTACTGGCGAACTCTTTTCCTGGCAGTGGCCTCGTGATTTGCCGGTCGCGTTCACTATTTCTGTCGCACCTATCCACTCTTCTCGGAAGATCAAAAGCTGTGCTACTATTTTACTGTGACTACCGTCTGTCCGGACTACCTCGCAGCCTCATGCTCTAAAGCCTCTTTTGGACACTACTGCAGAAGTTAAGAGGTACCCCGTAGTTATGCAGCCTTCGAATGTGTCTCTTCGACATTGTCGATATACTGCTTAGCGTAACTTCTTGTTGTGGAGATAGGACATTTGTAAGAACAATCTTCGTGCGTAGGTGTCTAACGTGACTTGTTCTGAGCTAGTTTACTGATGAAAGGTGCAAGTTATAGATGTCAGAGATCATGACCGGCATTACGTTTCAGTGTAACGGACCGTATGACGCATTACTACCGATCTTGTTCGTCCTATGAGTCGCATACACTCGTACAAGCCTTTCAATAATAAGCATTAGTGATGGCTATTAAATAAGCAGCTGAGCGTTTTGCTTTCACTAACAATTACTTCCTCTTTAATGCAAAGAACGAGCCAAAGATTTACGGTTAGAAAGAGAAGGTCTTTTAACATTTATTAAAATAACAAAGGATACGCAAACTATAGCGATAAATAATAAATTTAATTGTGCAACGTATTTTTAAAAGGGACTCCCTGATATCATTTTTACACTATTACAATAGTACGTTCGTATATATAATAAATGCAATGTCGGAGTTTCCGTTCATCGTTGACCAGACGCATGTTAGAATTATCGGTGTAAAGTAGACAGGAATTAGCCCCAGCTAGGCAAACTAGGCAATCAGGTTGAAACCTGAATTGTACCACGTATGGTATGTTATTGCTGACGTCTACGATGTTAGACGAGGACATTTCGAAGATATGCTAGGACGACAGCAAGTATTTGTTTTAGGTGCATAGTCGAAGTAAGGGACGCGAATGGCCGCCGGCTACAGGTTTATACCTTTCGTTTAGCTCATTTGATTTTTTTCAAACCTAAAAAGACTTAATTTCGTTCGTGGCTATATTTAATAGCATACGTAAGATAGGTAATAGGCGCAGATTTCATGTGGCAGTTGTAGAGTGACACTTAATTCGCAGAATAAGGTGTTGTCAGGCTTTCCGGGTTCTAAAGTCATAGATATAATACCCTGCAGATACAAAATATTTTTGTACACCGTTCTGAATAGCAAACAACTTTGTCTGAATTTGCATAATAGGTGTACGGTGACGAAAAGTTGACTTATTTCTACGACAAGCGAGAAGTTCACAGCTGCCACTTCGGATAGAATAAAACTGCTCACTTATAGAGCTGCTCAAATACACCTGTGACAATATTTAACAGGTACAGTAAAAAAAATTATCGGTTACTTATCAATAAACACTAGAGAATAGCACTTTCAACATACCTCATTGTACTAATACATTATATTATGCGTATAACATACTACTATAAAGAGAGGGAATTCGTCATAAGGTGCTTCTGCTGCAAGTTACACAGTTAAGTTCGACCGTTACTGCAGTGAGTCGCGTTTTTTCTGATGCTGTTTTTCAAACCAGAGACTTTCACCCCACCGTGTACATATATACCGCTCCTAGCTTGTTTAACTATCCCTTTTTGACTTAGGGTCTTCCTACACACCGCATTGACATCCCCTCTCCCTTAGATATAAAGTACTATTTCAACTCAACAGCAACATTAGGTCAAAATAAGGTAATAAAATATAATATTAATCTCTTACCATGAAATATTACCTACCAGAACATACTCATCGGCACTTTTGCTGAGATAGGCCATTGTTTTAAAGATAGGGGTCTTAGGTTCTGGAACCACCTGTCCTTAGAAGTACAAACCGAGTTGAACCCATCTTTGTGATTCCCGAACGAGTAAGACATAGGGAAAAACAATTTTTCTTACAAGCTACTTTCCAACTACGGTATGCCATTTATCGAAACCCAGTTGAAGCCTTATCATTTGGGCACGCCTCTCTTTACCGTAGGTCCGTGTCCTGCCAAAGAGATTAAGGCGTATCGTAACCGAAAGCTGGAAAAGACCAAAGTGACGACGACGAGCCACATTTTCAATTGCCTACAAAAACGAAACTGCAGATTAGGTTCGTTAGCGGTATGGCGAAATACTGTTTTGACCGCAGTCCGATCAGCAGAGTGGAGCAATTAAAACGGTGGCAATGGGACTTGCGTTTCCCGTTACAAACTTTGTAATGGACTTCCGCTTAGAGTATTACGGCCTAGAGAACTTCATTTCAAGAAATTGCAAGGCTAAGTATAGTAGCGTATAGCGCGATAATACAATTTTTAGAACCTAAGAGTGCGATATACATATTCCACACAACCCTTCGCGACTATGCGAAGCAGTGACCCAACTTCCAATTGGCTCTACTGTTTTATACCTTGAAATCAAAAGCTCCAATTGCCAATGAACTGCGGATATTTGCTTTAATCTATTGGAGACATGTTTACACCAAAAATTTCCAATTCCAAGCAAAGAGTTTATATAATAATTATTCTGATTACTTTGCCCTATATTCAAGCTGTATGAGGGTGCCAAGAAGAAAGAACTATTTTTTGTAATACACATGGTATTATAGAACAAACAATCTATTTCGTTCAATTTTGATAATGTTGCAGTTTATTTAAAAATTCGTCACAAGCAAGCGTGTAAGTATAAGTATGAAATTTTGACACGTTATCGAATGGTTGGTGATACAGCGCACGAAAGGTTTTTTTGTGAAAACAGATAATTAAATCAACATTTTTTTAGTTAAGTATGAAAGAAGTATTGTTGTGGAATCTAGTGGTCCTCTCTATTGCATCGAGTACTGTTATTCTTAGACTTAAGAAAAGAACTCGGAGTCTACTTCATTAGACGATCACAAACGCCTAACGAAAAAAGAATCTGAAAAGGCTCGTTTGACGTAGAGGTACTTCGAAAGATTAAAACATATGTATGAGTTTTGCGTAGTTAAATTTTATTTTTGCAACATAATCGCAATAATCACAGACAGGCGCCCTGTCTCGGCTTAATAGCAAACTGAACATCGATGACCACTCCTGGCCTTTTACCGGTCTCACAAACGGCAACAAAAACGCTGCTTTCTAGCAGTTTGTAACCTTACTTATACTGGCCTGATGCGGGTAGGGTAAACATTCATGCTCTCTCGTTTTTTGATTGACAACTGAGCATTTCTGAGAGATAATTTGCAAATACGCAAAAGGGTATTTTTCAGACATTTTTAAATCCGTCTGACTTCTGACTCGATTTGAACTGCAGCTTTCCCACGTGTTTTCGTATCTATACTGAGCCAACATCCACATCCTGAATAGTAAATTCTTCCTTCCTAAATTGGGCCTTCAGGAAGCAACCAGGAGTTTATTTGCTAGGAGCAAGTCCTAAGTACATGACCATTAGTAATTAGCGTTAGGTATATTTACACCAAATTCAATGAGGCTTTTAAGGTTATTCTTTAAAGCATGCGATTCGTTGCCGTGAACCGTTTTAGGATCAGTGTTTTGCAAAATTCTGTCCTCGCTGAGTGCTCATCCTTTCCCAGTCGCTTTATCTTGTTCACTATGTAGATGTACAGTCCTATGCTCTAGGGATATGCGTTACCGCGATATGATTTCGCGCATTTAAGACCGCGCTTTTCCCCTAAGGTAAGAAGTATTCGTCATACATCTCTAGTATTATTGGAGTTCTTCTAGTTCTTTGGTCAGGATTCGACCTGGCTTTAACATCGTTCGTTCATTTTAAGCCATATAATTGCCGTTCGTCAAGCGGGATATTTCAGACGAAGTGCAGCGATACGAGTTGTAACGATACAAAGAAATCTAGATTTTACGAGGCATTAGGAGTTGCATAGAGTCACTGAAAATCGATGCCGCCCTAGCATATCGTATGGCTTATAACGATTTTGAATTGCCCTAAGCATCTGAGGAGACATCCGCGCGTTCTGAACGCTTTAATGTCTCTTGAAGGGTTTACAGTATAGTCCATACGTCAGATCTCTCGGCATTATTTTCCGTCGTACTTCTTCAGCCTTTCAGTTCTGAGTTTTTCAGGCAAAAATTGCACCGTTGAGCAACAACGAGTGTTCATCACAACGAAACGGCCGTGTTAATGGTCACTCGAAGTATCTAAATCTATTCTCTTGCGGATGTCAACGGAGAAAGCCGCACGAATGTGTCTGTGGTACGATAGGGAACGTGATAATAGTTAAAGCCTATACGACCTTTTGGTTGCCTAGCCCTTGAGCGCTACAAACAGTGAAGTCGCTTGACGGAACCATATAGCACATAAATTCAATACAGTAATTGACAAATATGCATGCTTATATAAAATCAACGAGTAGAAATCGAAAGTCGTACTATCTAAACGAACGGCATGATCATACGAGCTCCCCAATCGTAGGCCACTGATTGACGAATCACTGCTCCTAGCTTTTGGAAAGGAGCTACGTTTAGTAATGTAATGAGCGTAACTATACAAGTCTACGTTACTAACGTTTAGCATCATAATTGTTACTAGGACCACTTTTGTTCCACACGCTGCCCTTGACCTGTAGAGGCAAGCTTGATAAACAGTGTACAAAGTAATTCGCTGATTTAAGGCATTGTTTTTCCTAGCCTTCAATCCTGTGACACTTATTTGGTGCGTAATTTTCAATTTAACAATCATACGGCAGAATGATCAAGTGGTTTCCATCGCCTTCGAAATCCATCCGCCTATAAGCATCTTGCTCTCACGGGATTCGATTATCATCTATGTAAAACAATACAGTAGAAACAGCTAAATAGCATTTCTGTTAGATATCATCTCACACGTTCAGAACGTCAATACAAATATGTCTGAAATCAATAAAAAAAACTAGATTAGGTAGTTAAGATTCAGCTGGCGGCTGGACCCGATCCCTTTTTTTGCTAAAGCCATCGTGATAGAAGGTCTTCAGAAGATCAGGCCGGTTGTTTCAGAACGTTTACTGGAATGATGCTATGTTTTGCAATACTGACTAAAAAGCAATAGTTCGATCGAAGAGTGGTCGATGGAAACAGGAATATCAATCTCAATCAATAGGATCGATAGTAGATTAGAATCTACGATTTATACATCGAGTGGGTTTTAGCATAGAAGTATCATCTGAATTGAATAGTGAATACGTAACATTTATCTCCGGTACACAAACATACTTTTTATTTGAAAGAATTTACCGTTAAGTTATTTTCAGATGGCTAGAAACGATATAGCATAGCTCGGCCCCGTGTTAGCCATTTGCTTTGCAAATAACAGTGGCTATATCCCACATAGACAAGCCGAGAGGCTTGCTTAATACCTCAGCTGACTCTTATCTAACCTATAAAATAACAATGAGATTAAAAGTTTTCTATTCGAATTATGAAGGACATAAATGCATATTCAGGCTATGTTCAACTAGGGAAAAGGGTTTATGTTAGACAATTTTGCCTCCAGTTATCCTGGGACCCCTGTTTTCCTGTCTAGTATTCATTGTATTTATTGTATTGGCATTTTCTTATGAGGCGACTAAGAAGGCTAGCAGAGACTATGATCACTGCTCTGAGGTAAAAGTAGATATTAGGCATAACACAATATATATAATGATAAAAATGATCGGTTCGACGCGAGGCTCTAGTTTCAATTATTAGACACAGGGGTCCTGAAATTTTGCAATATGTCTTGCTTTTGTAGGATTACTTTACGTTCATTTTGCAACGTCTTAATTTGAACTTTATATGGGGTGGCCGTCAGCCGGTAAACCTCGTTTACGGAAAACCTTGTTTGCTTTACGGAATAAGTGCGACATTATCGAAATGTCAACTTCATACAAACAAAAGCTCAACAGCACAGTCAATGGTCGTGGCTTTTGCTTCGCCTTAAAGCAGAACGCAGTTACCGTTGCGGTTGCGTCAGGGATTGTTGATTACGCAATTAAAAAAAATCTCGAACTGACCTTAAGTAACAATCATAATGAGTACGCTTAAATTTATTTTTAGCAGCTCCAATCTAAGCAAAGGTCGTAGGTGGGCCAGTCATATTCATGAGTTAACCTAATTTCCCTGTTCGGATAGTAGCGCTATAATATATAACAATAATCGGATTGCTTCGTCATTTTCACTTGGCAAAAACTGAGCAGTACCTCGTCCTGTCGATTCCTCGATTAGTAGGAGGAAACTAGATATGGGAAGCCGTATCTGATACGGGCCTAGATAATGCAATCATGTTATGCTCCCATAGATTAACGTGATGCCTTCGTTAGTGGAGATTAGTTGCAGACGATAAATGATATGGGTATGCGGCGTGTAAGTTAGAGGCGCATCATGGTCGTGCCAGTTTGAAACTTGGTTCTCGCTAACTAGCCGAACTTTGCCGCCACGGCTTTTTCTTCCGCGAACAAATAGAACGGGTCTAAAATTAATCAGCAACTAAAGATGTTTGGTAAGGAGTGGGAACTAGCCGCAGGGGTTGAGATGAAGTTCTGTAGGTCAGCTCGGCTGGAATCGGCTCAAAAGCATAGATATCGCCACGATCAACATTGCTTCTCGGCTGCCAGCATCAATCGCGATACATGAGCGGCATTACATTAACCGCGATGCTGTGAGTCGTAGAGAAGCATGTTTAATGAATCGGAAAATCTGAGTAGACAACCGATCTAAAACGTAGCATCATTTTTCGACGTCACAATTGTTCCGAATTCGGTGGGCTATTTAGTCAGCGGTACATGTTCCTAACTACAAGTCCCCATTAATAGTTCGTGCTTCTATGTTGCTAAAGGAACTTCTTGTGTAGTTATGTAGGGCTTGACGATAGCAAAGCTTGAATTGAACCACCACAGGGAATCACTTAAAAACAATAGAGTTTTCCCTAAGACATTGATTCCTCACTCAGTTCGCATGTCTATATGCACTAATAGTAGAAGTACTATGACCAGTAACAGGGGAATCCTATTCCTGAATAAGTATTCCCGTATCTAAATTCATTTCGCGCCATTTCAATGGGCATGGACAATGCTACTGGTATGAGGATATCACGTAGAAACGCGTAAGAGAATGAGGATTGATATCCAACAAAGTGACATGGGTTACCTGTTCGATTCAAAGCACTTAGTTCACGAGTTGGCAGCGATCATCTGGGAGATTCGCCGAACAAGGTCGTCGAGACTGGCAAAATAAAGGTAGGTAATACCCTACAATTTTGTAACTAAAGTAACTTATGTCCTGCGTTTGCCTTGCCCAGACTGAATGTCCTGCACGTACAGCAGCAAGGCAGGTACTATGAGGGATAAGAATTGAATCTTACTACAGATGTCATTGCTGTAGATAAATTACTTTGTAAGGAGAAATGCCCGTATCACTAATAATATGAGATCTTTTATTTCGCTAAAGATATCTATTATATTTCAGATGTGGAAAGAACAATTACCTGCACCAGTTACGTGAGGCTCCTGGAAGTCGATTCTACTTTTATTATGTTCAGTTAGCGTCCTTTAACAGGCTCAATGGGGCATGTTGTGCCTTAGCTACCGAAATTTCAAAAAAAGATATCGTTTTTATTGTGAAATACAACATTTACCTGAAACTGTTACATTAAAATGTGAGCAATAACTGGAAGAATACATTTCTAGAATTTATTTAGCATAATGCTGGTAATCTTTTGCAAGTTGTTTTTCAAAAAAGGTACATAGAACTTCATCATCTATTGTCGGGTTTTCGAGTTAAAACCGTTGTGCTGCCCAGATATTGTTTAATAAATTAAGAATTAACTAGTATAGTGCTAACGGCGATTTGAAATCTGGGCCAATAGTTTATATTACCCCTATTATAGACGAAGCTTTATTCCCCTTATAGATTTTCAAAAGCGTATACGATATGATGTGGCGCAAGGCATTTTACATCGATAGGTTTCTGCTGGACTGCTACATTACTAGATGCCTAAACAAGGTACGTAAAGATCAAGCACCACAATAAATCCGAAACGAGTCCTTTAACCATGTTGATCATTTCGATGCATTGTTGGGCACGGGTTAGCTAATTTAGTAAAATATAAGTTTAGCGGACATTACATAACATTTACAGATAAGTAACCTGCTTTAACTTCCTCGGTCTTGCGTTTTCTCGCTTCTGAACATACGAAATTAATTCATACATAAAAAAAAATTGCGCAGCCTTTGTACACATTTACTTTTTATTATTTACACACTCAAATTTATATAGATATGACTCCAGATCAAATTCTTGGACAAATATGCCTAGATATTCGAAATAGATCCGACATTGCAAAGGGACTTGATTATTTACAATACGTCTGCAAAAAAAGGATTAAAAACAATACAACACCAGGAGATGACGCTTAAAGAAAAGCTACGTAACGCCGACAGACAATTGGCTGGAGATTATTTATTTGGAGTGCAAATGGCCTATTAATAGCAGGAAGGTGTTAAGTATCTTCTCTGTAATGGCTGGATGCATCCTCGTTGCGGCTTACTACGATCAACGGGTTTAAGTGATCATTCTTAGGTAAATTCTATTAAACGTCTCCAATGGGAATGAGGAAACAGCTGAAGTAAGAAATCTTATTATAGAAAAAAATTTTTAGCAGATCTTAGCGAAGCGGCTCAGGAGAGCTAATGAGGAATTAAACAGGGTGAAGTCACAAGTTGAATTAACTCTTGGCCGTTTAAAAAGATGCCACTTAAAAACTTGCATTATACAGACAATTGAGAGTACCGAGACCGGAGCAGAAACACCATTTCGATCGAACGTCAGATGAAAGCGCTTATAAAACGGATACAGAAATGTAACAATGTTAATAGTTCAATTAAAACGCCTTAATTGAAACTGCCTATTATCAAAACTCGGGTGAAGACTAGGAGATCGTATGTAACAAAGGTATGCCCAGGTGCAGCTATCGGATGACTATATAATAATTAGAGAACTTCAATTTTAGTGAAAAAATTAAAAATTCATACGAATGAGGTTAGCGGTCTTAGGCATTGACCACCACATCTGTAAAAAAAAGACACTGAAATATTTCGATACCTCGATCGACTTCGTAGGCACTGCAAACTAAATCCACATGATGACCACCAGCCCAATACTGCTAAAATAATAATATAATAATGTATAATATAATACATAATAATAAAAATAATAATAAGCTTCGCTGTATTTGATCGAATGTACGCTCTACTGTAGGAGACTCGGTACTTTTTACCTATATCTAAAACAGCAGAAAGTAAACATAGCCTTTACCACAGACCCGTGGCTTGCAGAGAAAAATGCCAGCTCCGCTGAATTAAGCCACGGAGATAACTTTGAAACACTCAAAAAAGATACGTCCTTTCAAAATGGAGGCCAACATATTCTAGTAAGAAAAGACCTTTCATATACCGAGGTCTAGGCTGCCGATTCCTTAGATGAGATCATTGCCTGCGACATTACGCCTTCCGCTAGAATGGCAACGTTGATATCGGTTTACTTCTCGCTGGCCGGACTAGCCCAGGAACTGTAAAATCACACCTTCACAATGGTGAAGAAGTTCACCAAAAAGCAACAAAGACTTGTAAATTCGTTGCACACCGACATACTATCGGGCTATCTCGATCGATCGCAAATAGGTCGAGAAACTTCCCAAGATCTACAACAGCTAAAGAAACGTTTAACGACCGAATGAGGACGACTAATATTTTTCTCAGATTCTGTGCTGCGCAGGGCCTTGCATAGCTTGTAACAGAACGAACCCGCCATAATAACCTGAAAGAGCGATCTCGCGCACGACGACTCAGTTCCGAAAATAAAGGTGCAATCCGGTCCCATAAGATCAAATTATTGGAAGCTTTGAATTCACTGCCGGAAATGCTTATTTGGTCAAAACCACACATTACGAAAAGGTCAATTTTACTACGATTAAATCAATCCTAGACCAGTTCTCATTCATCGAGAACTGCGCGAGTACAAACGGGTAGCATCTAATAAGGAAACTCATGTCTGCAACAAAATTGACATGCTCTTTATATCTCGGCAAATCACAAGGCTACATCAAGCCCTTACAAGAACGGAAAACAAGGATACTATCCTCTTTACCCAGAACGAAATTAATGTAACGCGTTTTTTTTTCAGTACAGGCAACGTATTACGAAGGAACACACTCGACTTTAAAAATGTCGACAACTACGTTTACAGGCAAATTGTAGTAAATGACTTTTACGTTAAGCTGATGCAACATACACCACCGACAATCAAGGAAACGTTGAGACCCGAATAACTACTTTCAAAAAACATCCAACGATCAACGAAACTTGATAACGAAACGAAGGACGTCCATTTGCGACCCCTGGCGAATGCTGCGGCCGATGCCGCTCACTACGAAGCTGGCAATGTCCGGAGAAGCCGCAGTTAAAAACGAATGAAATGCGGGACGAATTGCCGTCTACCAAAATAAAGTTCAGGTTGTCAGTGTGCACCGCACGTTTTTCGAAAATCGTTCGACGAAACAAATGAAAAAACAGCAATCTTTGAAACAAGTATTATATACCCTGTCCACAGAAATGATCAAAGACGGACTTCTCCAATAAAATGCTAAAATCATACATTTTCGCAGCGTGCAAAATGGCAATGCATAGGAACAGATATTGGATGCAGAGTTTGCTATAGACCAGAAGACCGTACAATGTCCTATCTATTGAATATTAAATTCGACCGAGCAATTAAGTGCAGTAAAGCCCAGTGCTCCGAAGTTACGTACTTTGAATTCAAATATACTTTTCAATGCACCACACACCCAAACCTGATATATTGAGCCGGTCTTTTGGTAACTTGGCTCGAAATTTTTTCAGCACAAAAAGTTTTTAAAAATCACGAATGATGAATATTCTAAGAGTGTTAGTGGAACGCCTCTGAGTCGTCAACGTACTCTTGCGTATATACATTCTCATGTACACACTGGCATCGTCATCGACGGTAAAAATATACACACTTGTAAACAATCCATAAAAGAAATCTATCATGCAACAAGGTTTAGCCAGACATCAATAGGCGAATCGAAAGACTTGCCCTTCAACGACCTCGTGAAAAAATCGGCACCACTATATATATATAGCATAGATGGGATAAATTTTAAATTTCAAAATGTGATTAAAGAGTTATATATCATTACGTCTACTTCGCCATATAGAAAACGTGAATGAAACAAACAACGGACGTTGTGCGTCATAGCACACAACGTTTCAACTAAATTCTAGAATCCTCTTCCTAATTTGTACGCTAAACTATTCCGTATACATATATATACGGAATACTGATGATTTTCACAGCGCTAGTATCACAGGCTAGTGTCACAGGCGCACGTCTAACCATAATTAGGGAGCCCTTAAAAAAAAAATGCTGTGAATAAATATGAAGGAAGTGTACTACAAAATAGAAGTGTATCAATATAATATAGATCTAGCTGGGATTACAGTTATTGTAGATCGCTTATAGATGATTGACAAAATTATGAGAAACGGAGAAAACACAAGCGCATAGTCGAGAGTTTAGAATTATCGACGCCGGAACCGATGTTAAATAACCTGTGTTAGCAAAATTCGTGACGTAGATTGTCTTTTTTAATGGAGACAACCGTGTATACTAGGTTTTTCTAGCCTTCTAGTAGTTACTACAAACTAAAAACTGTTACTAAAAACTGGAAATGTATACATACAAACATTAACAATCTTCGTAATTATCAGCATCACTTACATAGACAACACTTGAATTTGGTTTACAATTAATGACAAAATAATGAATAAATAAAAGCACCTTTGCGTGCTTAGTAAATTGCGTGTATCTGCGTGCTCGATCAAATATATTTATTTGAAATTGGCGCGTAAACATAAATCCGGATCAAATTAACCTTAAACGCAAATAAACGCACGTATACTTCCGTTCAAAAGAAAACGACGGCCATCTTAAGCTCTACATAAAAAAAATTTATGAATGTATGCCTAATACTTCAGAACTCCTTCTGTAAGTCATTTATGTGTATTATAAGTGTAAGTAAGCTCTTTTTTAGCGATTTTTTTAGTCGTTTTGGCCTTTCCGATTTTAGTGAAAAGAAATATGACGGCCAGTACCGAAATGGTCACCTGTTTGTTGATTCAAATCTCGCTTCTGTCCATTACATATATCGATTTATTCTTGTTGCTATATTTTTGGCCCTATTTTTTTTATTTTAAAGCATGATAGTTTACTACACCCATTTCAACTCTCTTAATTTTGAAGGTGTTCGCCCTACTGAGTGGACAGTGAATAGCAAAGAAAGATCTGTATTCCCTCATCGTATCGGCTTTGTTATATGGGAAGTCATGCAACAACTCGGCTTTAAGGACGTGTTAGGGTAAAAGGCTCTACCAAGTAACCTTAAAGGATCAAGAAAAATGATCCATTTCCTTTACTTAATATTGCTTATTATTTGGATTTTTAATGGGATGGAAATGTATTTGGATACAGGTTCAAGCTTAGACCACCTCCGTTTCTCTCAGATTAACGGATGAACACCCTTATTCACTTGACGCGCATTAAACTCAAATTCTTTTGCGGCCGTTTAGAAACAGTACCGCAGATCTACTTAATAAGCTATAAATGTGTAAGAAACTTTTTTATTTTTCAAAATTAACACAAGTGGTACAAGAGAAAATCCGAAATCAGGTTTGTATTTTCAAGGTGAAATAAGTACAAGCAAATAACAAGTGTCTGACTTAGCCAAGAAATGATTGACAAGCGAAATGTGTATTATGCACTTTTGCTACGAAACATTTATTTTCAAGTTGCTACGAACTTCAACAAAATGTATAGCTTATATTAAAAAAAACTATTGTCTTAGTTCCTAGTATCAAACAAATTTGGGAGAATCGGTATTGGGAGTCCTTAATTCGAAAATCGGTAGGAAGACATTTACTATGCGCATGGAATATTAATATAGCCTAAAAGATTGATACAGCAGACGGAAACTTTGAGACGGTGCTGAGAGCAGTCCCCCTATCGTCCATGCATGCGTAAAAATGATTCTCCTTCAACCAAACAAAAAAGACCGGCGCCTCACACTGAATGACCGAAAACCTATCTATTACTTTGTCATCAAGGCCGGCATCGCCACGGGCAAGTACTGATTATCTTATGCTTTCGACGACACCAGCTCAAAATGTTACAATTTGCCTTGTCAATTTTTTCATGTATTTATGTCATTAATAATGTTTTTTCTGTTTAGTCAAGTCACGGGGCTTGAAAAAACACGACCGAGGACTGTTTTAGTTACATGCTATGTAGCTGGCTCGTTCAACATGGCCAAAAAATGGAAGAAGACAACATTAAGGCCATAAACAAACGACCTGATTACAATAGTATTGTACAATAGTGCAGGGTCTTCACAAAACTCCCATAAATGGAAGCAAGGCGAACCTGACTAGGGTCATCAAAAGGGTGGCGCGTGAAACACCTCACTACGAAGCAAACAATCCTACGGGCAAAGGAACAAAATTTAAAGACTCTAACGGCGCTCCTTAAATGAAGACTAAATAAAGCGGCAAAAGTACTCAGAAGAATTCATTACTTAATAATAACCATCACCAGCAACAAGAGCAATAACAAAACGGATGATAATTTCCACCGTCCTGTACAGATTAATAACATTGCTGACATGTAGTAGGTTCCTTCCTCGGTACTGCCTGTATAGATGACAGGTTAGCGCAAGCTCCGAGAGATACGGGACGATTACGATGGAAAGTTAGCCAAGAGACTCAAGCAGCCACATGCCCTGGAGTAGGGTGCAGTCTACTCGACATGTCTCGAGTAAAAGGGATAAAGCGATGCAGTAAAATAGACTTGAAAACGTTAGAATATCCTGTCGCACTGGGATTTCTGGACAGTGAATTGCAATGAAACGGGGAGAAATGGTAAGCCCAAAGCAAATATAAACCCTGCTTAGCAGAATGAGAACAATATCTGACGAAGGGTAGCCAAAAGTCATACTGAAATGGCAAAAGCTCCGAGGAGTAGCCCGACGTAATACAAAATAATACAAATATGCATAAAATATGAATAAAAAATACAAATATGCATTCGGTTGTCGGCAAATGAAAAGCCACGTCAAAACCAATATCATGTAGCCATAGGGCAGTAAGTGTCCAAAGTGGTCAGAGATCGTCGACTAAGCAGAAAAGAAAGGTCGCAATATACATGAGGTGCGCATATATATAGATTACCCCACTACTGACGCTGGCACGTACAGGAATATAGCACGTCAAACGATTCTATAGATACTTTTTCAAACCTGACATGCGGGTATGTCATGCCAACAACGGTATCGGACAAAACTAAAAACGTGTAGAACGTGTGTCAATATGAATATGACACGAGTCATCTAGACAAGCGCGCACTCTTACGGCGACTAGGCCTTTTAGAGACGATAAGAAACCTCATCTATTTGAGAAACAAACATGATACTATGGATTTGTGAGTTTAATTCTTGAAATATACACTATGCTAACCTTTTTTTTTTAAGTCAAAAGGCATACAGCACGACCGCCGTGAAGGAAAGCACTGTAATGACGGATCGTTTTTATGCCAAAAAGTCCATTATCAAACCATTTTTATAAGGCTAAACTAAAAATTTAAGGTAATCTGACCGCAGTATAAATATATACAGCTAAAACCATATTCAACATATCCACTATCGGGGTCAGCTATTTGAAACCATATGTCATCCATCTAGTAAATTCCAGTTCTATCATCTTTACCGCCGTTGTAAGTACACATTTAACATGAACGTCATTAAATGTTGAAGTAACCTGATGAACACATAGAAAGCACCGTAGTATGCCCGAACAGTATCTTAGGACATAAAGTCTAGATTTGCTTTAGATGAACGCAATCATCGGTGAGGTTAAGGTAGAGTCGTGGGTTATTCGGCTTATTGGAAAACATAAGGAGCTATGAAAGACCGCTATATCTGGACATCAAAAGAAACTCGCGTACCTACAAAGAAACACGAAGGCAGAGAGTACACAAAAAATACAAGCATTAAAGTGGGTCATCACAGCTGCGCAAAAAGGGTTTCAGTATCGATTTGAAGTTTGCTGCCACTGGAATCCGATTTCCTTTTGTGAAAACGCTACATAAGGACTACAAAAAAATTCAAAAGCCATCATAGACTGCTTACAAGAAATACGAAGTGGAGCACAATATTGGCAGTAATGGGAGGAATTTTGAAGATGGCAAAAATCTTCGATTTTCTATTGCCAGATTCTTATTTTGTAATAAGAAATAAGATAAATTAACAGGAGTTTTTAGACAAATATTCTGTTTTTAAAAGAAAAACCAAGAGACTTGAGCGAGGGTAGTGCGCGTACATAGGCATATATGAGACTGTTCAAACCAATTGCAAAACAAATGGAAGTCAAGTAAAGGCTTATTTTTTTATACTCAATACGGCCTATCTAATAGGATTAATACTAAACGCTGAACACGATGAGAATATGACGATTAGCTAATGTAAAGTCGTTGGCTACATATTCTTCTCAATATTGTAGTGTTGTGAGCAAAAATTTTTGGCAGAAACGCAAAGGTTTTTCCTGCCCGAAATAACAGACGACTTTCACGGAGAGGAAATAAAATATAGCCAAGAACCTTTCTGATAAGCTGCACAGCCACAAACAAAAGGCCTGATAAATATCGTGATTAATAAACCAGCTAGAATCGAAAACCTGAACTGGAATACCAGTTTTACTGAACCAGCACGATTTAGGCAGCCGAAAATTTCAGTCTGATTAAGTAATATCCCGCGCGCTGTGTTCTTACCGATCATTCTTGTTCTCATATTATAGGTTTAGCACTATTTAAAGGGCAAATCTAACGATGAACCTTTTGCGAAACCTAAAATTATCGAAACAAAGAGACCGTTTGATCAATGTAGGGTGGAACTCGGTGGGTTTACAAATATTCTGACAGAAGAGGGTGACGTCTATAGATCGGTAAAAGCTAAAGTCATTTTTTTGACAATACAGACTACGTTTTGATGCAATTTTTTGATCTTCGAGCAATGCAACATTTACCTATCCTTTACCTATCAAATTCCATAGGCATATTGGCGCACCGTGTCATCTGAATAAAGAAAATTATATTGGCAGATAATAATTTTCATTTTCGACCCAAGTTATGGGCGACTCAGTACAGTACACTGTGTGCTGAGATTGTCAATAGTGAAGTAAACATAAGACACTTGCTGCACACCCAACTATTGCCTAGCCAACTTATTTTAGCGGAGTTTGCTAATTAAGTCGAAAACAAACATCTATTTTCCACTTTACATAAGAACTTCCATTAACTTCCTCGCTAAGTGACTAAAGTAACTGTGATGAAAACCAGTGGCTTATTCCTGCAACACGGTTCTCCTGCTGCTTTTTACCAACTGTTTTAAAATAGAACACAATACTATACAGATTTAATTTCAAAATTCAAGCAACTCTAGAATATGCTATCCGGTTTTCATGGCGATAGGAAACAGTCACAAATATAGTTTTTGTTTATTTCAACAGTAAACCCTTGACTCATAATGTAAGATATATATAGAAAAACAACGAATTACTGTATAAAAATAAATAAGTAACACACGTTAACTATTTCTCTAATATAGTCTTTAACGCTGGTAGGATCTAAGCCCCATTATTCAGATAAACTGTTGAGCGACATATAAGGATTTAGACAGCTCTGGCCCTATACACAATGGCGATATGTATCCACTCAAGATTTTGTGGAACGACAGGTGCGTATTATTATTATTGTGCATGAGCCGAAGAATACGAGGAAGAATAATATTCTTCGTCATATTCTTCGGCTGGAACATATTGCTATAGAACTATAAAACCAGGTCGTGGCTTAAAATTAAGTTAAAAGCAAATATGTTAAGCTGAATATGCAATCGAAATGACTCTAACGATTTTCATTCTTCTGAGTTGGTGCAGCATTCATCACTATAACTTCTTTTTGTTGAGATACTGATCCCTTATAAACGTTTCTGAGCGTACGTGTAAATTCAAGCACGCCATTCATTCAAAATGGGCTTATCGTAGCCGTATCATTACAATTTAAACAATAACCCGGTTCTGGCTGTTCTCAAGTAGAAAATGGGAAGCTATTTCGAAATTAGCCGCGCAAATTTTCGGAGAAGGACGTACCCTCGCGTCCCGTTGTGTTGCCCATCCACAAACAGCTGATCCGCTCCTGGTAGATGAAGAGCCACAGCTACCGAGGAAACGCCTTTAAGTTTCGCTCGTTGCTTTTACATGACTTTGTGATCGCTTATTATTTCGTGCGTTAATCGAATAGTAATGGTAAAGCGAAGAAGTCTGCAGTTGCACACGACACTGCCTGCGGAAATGAGAAACGTTTATTAGATGTACATGTGGATTGCGGGTCGAATACATACCGTGTACGTCACCAGTTGTTACAATTTTCCTTTATTCAAAATGTATTAGTAGGTCATGAACGATATTTTGAATATATAAAATTGAACATAACTAGTTATTGGGTCTGACCAATGCAAGAAGTAAGCCCTCATGCTTCAGATCTGTGGCCAAGAAATTTTATTTATATCACACGACCTCTAGGCAAATGAAAGCTATATGCCGTATTTAACGCAGCTTACAGTTACACCTTGTAAACAGTTACGCCTTCGAATACAGCGCACTTACGACCTGAAGCAGTGTTGTTACACCTTGCGCACCGCTTAGGTGTATTAAACTACACTAATACTTTCCTCTTTCAATCGATTTAATTACATTGATTAACCTAGAATTTATTTTATTTTGGAAAATTGCAGACCAGATAATACTAGTGTAAGGTGATGCCACAGTCATCGGTGTTATAAAAGCACTTAACGGTATGTGCCATGTTCATGAAATTCAAATCCTATGTTTCAGCTGTTTCTGTCTAAATTTTCTACGAAGTCAGCATTTTAGACCTTTGACATAAAAAACCCTTCCACTTTCGCTTATTGTACTTCGTGGCTCTGTCAATGCCAAGAACAAAACAACTGAACCTCAAGTCGTTAAATTCAGCTAATTCAGCTAGAAATTCGGTTTTAAAATATCATTTTTTCACTCACAAGGATTTTTGCATTTACACGATCCTAACATTTGCCATCCTCAAGTAGGACTTAGACTAGTTTAGTCTATTTTTTTATATATACGTTAAGCATAGTAATTCCATTAAAGTGAACATGTTGAATTACCTATGAAGCACCTAGGGTAGCTCCATGCGCATATTTTTTTTACAGGTATTCATTCATCACACAAACATTCCATCAAAGCATGGCTGTGCATAATAGCCTCTGCAGATTGATGCGCACGCTTGTTTACAGATGGTGCTTCAATCTTTTTGCAGGACAACTTCAACTAAGGCCGAAGACTCTGCGAGAGATATCACAGGGTTTAGTTCGCGATTGTTGAGATAGCTGTGGCTGACTAAGAGATCACAAAATACCATGGAATGGAGAGACACATAGAGCCGTATATATCGTAGGCGCATATGGAAACTGTGTGACTGCCGGAGCAAGCGCTCACCTTATAGATCTCTGTGTTTGTGTCAAAAGGGTTCCGGTACCGAAAGGTTAGAACGCATTCCATTCCGATGGTCAGCCAGGAAAAAACGACTTCATTTTACCTCAGCCACGAGGTTTCATATTATGAATATCGAATATTGAGTTGAACACTTGTACACGCTTGAACCTGTATTGCAGTCAGTGCGGGTAAATTAATAAGGGTGAGCTAACCCAGCGAACGTTGCAATGTTTTAGTACAATTAAGTGATCAAGAACAGGTTGATTGGTTTTCGTTTTCTCAATAGCAATAGTACAAAACGTTTGCGTCGTAGCATAAGATTCCCACGTTAATTATCATAACATAATGTAACCTGTAGATATTTACACTGCATAGTTTGAAATGCCCTAAAACTGCGAAGTGTTTTAAAAACGTGGACAAAATATGTTTAAATCGACGAATGATCACGAGTAACTTGCCGGTACACACTCTCTATATTGGGTTCCAACATCAAGTCCTAACCATAAATCAGTTCCTTCAGCAGAGACCAATGCTTACTTAAATCGATCTACAAGCTTCATTTTGAACTATTTTATTATATATATATAAATCACGATCTTGAGAATATTCGAGATTAGCGTAAAGCCTTATCAAACTTTAAAAAAAGTCTAGTCCTATGACCATGCGGTGAGATAATTTGAGCTTGATCTGGCCATTTTGCTTTCAGTAGGGATATCAGCTATATGTTAGAAACAATCAATCAAACCCAACTGCAGGCTGGGTTTGAACCTGCAGTTCAAACACTGCACAACAAACAGAATGCGCTAGCTATAGCAGGAATATTTGTTTACGCAAAGCTCATACTCTTTGCGATTATGTTAAGATTGGCCGAAAAATATTGATTTTATTATTTTTTACAGCAAATAAATGGATAAGATCTGGTGATTTGATGTCAATCTGGGACAATTATTTCTAAAGCGTTTGGATGCTTCGTGAAAAACGAAGTCGTGCACTGTCAATTGGACTGATGAAGGCAAAAAAATCGGGTCATTAAGAAGCTAAACTGATCTGTTAACGATACGTGTTTTGTTAACAAAAATATGGCAGTGCAAAGCATCTTTCATATTATGCCAATATTATTTAGGTAAACAGGTATTAACATACACCCTAAAAAGCTCGTGGACAGGTTTTTTATAAGCCACTATCGACCCCGATCGTTTTTTAAGAGTTTTTTTTTTATCTGATAGACTCTATTGCTTTTCGAAAGTTATATAATATATAATAGTTCAGTAATATAAAACGCCAATTAGGTACAAAGCCTAGGTGAGATCGAAGTAAAATAAGATGATTTGGGATGTCATACACGTAACTTATTTTGAGAATTCCGTTCTGTTAGACGATATCGGAATCTCTTTATAGAGATTTTGTATTTATATGCATTTAAATGTGTTAGTGTACGCAGAAACTTAGATATTTCGGATAAAATATATTTCTGTATTTCTGTGTGCGTTAGCGAAATTGTGTTGAGTAGAGCAAAAGTAAAACCGGTATCACTAAAACGCAACATCAACGTAACGTTTAAGACATTTATATACTGGAATTCTAAATTTAAGTGAAACGTTTCGGATCACTTAGAGCTCACTATGGAGTTGGCCTTTTCCATGTGACAAAGGTTCTTTTTTTTGTGTATTTTGGCTGTTTGATCGGGTAATTTTTGAGTTTTCGTTCGCTAGCCTACAGCCATGCATCTTATTATAAATAAACCATCAGTTCTTCCTGAGCTAACAAACTATGCTTAATGGGTGGTGGTTATAACGACTAGATATCACTTACACACTACACTCAGGATCGCTTTGCAGGACCTCATTTGGCTGTAACATTGAGAAAAGTGTAGACGGTCAAGTATCCCATAGTTCCAAGGTCGAAATGATATTACCGTCCTCTATGTATAGAATTACAAAAATGCGCACCTCTGACCTTCTTGTAGTCCTATTAGTTAATCATACCAGCTGCAAAAGTTCACGCTGTTAACAATTCGTTTTTATGGTGGACCGCCTGAGCTTGCTAGCGCAAAGACAAAGACAATCCATTTCAACAGAGGACTTGTATTATGTTGTATTTATATGTAATTAGCATCGGCGTTTACAAGCTAAACGTTCGAAGTAATATCTTAAAGAACTGCTTTCTTTGCGGATCGGAAAGACGAGTGACGGATAAACGCATGATTGCTTGGATCCGACAACTCTCTATTCCTGTGGATTTCTAAATAGCCATTTTTAGTTTGACCAGTGTGCCATACTGTCAAGTATCCAGCAAGTGGAACTGATAAAATGCTAAAAAGCTTTTGGCTGTAATAAACAGTGGAGCCCACAAGAAGCACTCTGGTACTGGTCGTACTGATGGTATCTTTAAGCGCGCACCTTTTTTTCACATCTTTAGGACACGCGACGATCGAAGGCAGCAGTAGAAGGAGCTGTACGTTCGTATTAGCAAAATCCAAAAATCGATCAATCAGTCAATGGAACAGTTTTAGTGAGATCGGCTTCCGATAGGTTTAGTTCCCATAAAAAAAAAAAAAACATTTTTTCCATTCAGTTTTTGTCTGGCAATGGCAGTCATCTGCAACAAAATTTTGGTTAGACGCGTCATTGCATAATGCAGTGGACCTATGTGGGATGACCATTTAAAGTAGATTCTATAAAGAGTAGATTCTAAAAAAAATTATAGTGAGTTAATACTCATTATTATTCATGTGGCAAGCGGACGGAGTTGAACACATTTGATAACGAGTATAATTTCTTTCTAGGAAGCAATTATGGTAATTATCAATCTGTAAATAAATATCGTTATTTATTATTCTATGAACTAATGAACATGATTTACATTACAACATTTACTGTTCCATAAATTAAACACAATACATTTTGTTGAGAGGAACCAGGCGTGCTACTAACTTTACTTCATATATTAACGTGAAGAACAATAATAATCGTCGATATTATACGAATGTGCTATAATGAACAATCGACTGGTTGACTGATATTAGAAAAAAAAAAAAGATATTAACTGCTTTATTAGGTAATCCATTAGCTGTACAGGGTATTTTCTTACTTCCTCGTTTTCTTGGCAATTGCATACTAAACACAGAAAAAATTAAAGACTATACAAATATATTTAGATAAAATTTAGAACGTAAATATTCTTTTTTATGCGTCTAATGTAGCTGAACCTAAATTTAAGTGCCTATAGTTCGTCTAAACTTAAAGATTCTGCTTTAGTTCCTCGTTCTGCAACAGTTTTCTATACATCACTAATTAATTTAGGTCACGTTCTCACGCAGCTTGTCCACTGAATTTGGAAACAAACTAGCTGGTCTAGCTTTGGAATCGCGCGTGGGTGGGCTACATTCTAGGTATTGTTTGCTTTAGCAGAAACGTGCTTAAACTTAAAGATATCTGAGGTAATAGAGGTCTAAAACCGCATATAAAGGTTAATTTTGTGTTACGTACCAGCATCTGAAACAATGTATAACGGCAGTAGAACCAGACGTGCAAGCTAAAGCAGTTGTTTAGGTTATATGATTTCTCTGTTTTATTTAGAGCGCATGGATATCACACGAACGAAGCGATGTGTGTGGCTTGCAGACAATACCATACTGTGGAAATACCCGTTAAAGGATATGTGTCACTAGTTAATTTGAGCTTTAAGCTATGTCAGAGCGCTTGCGTAATAGTGTAAGGGCCTTACTAAAATCTGGAACGTTGCCTTTTGTGTAGCTTGTTTTTCAATAGAGATGAATATTTAGAGAAGGACACGTATTGCAAAGGAAAACGGGATAAAAAATATTTGAAAAAAAACCTTCTTTCACCGCTGTGTAAATCTCTTAAGGAACTGCTGGAGTCTTAAGGGATGGTTATCTCCTTTTTAAAAATATGTTACGGC